ATCGCGACACACGTTTCTGCTAACGCCGAGTTCTAGTGTTTAGGGTTGATTTATGCAGCAGCAGTTAACAGTTCGCTTTTTACTGTAAGGCTAAGACCTGAAGGATTAGAGAGAAACCTAAACAATCAGATGTTTCCCTCTGAGCTGCATTTGGCAACAGTGGGAAGGAAGAACTCCCTTTTAGTTGGGAGATCCAGGCTCAGGGAAGGGAAGCCATCTGTTGTTTCTCTGCGGTTTTTATGGCTCATATCTGCTATTTTGGCAAATAGGCTCTAATCAACATAATTTATGAAGGGGTCATATATAAAATAAAGAAATGTCTTATTTAAAAAAGACATTTTTAATGTCAGACTCAGGGAGCTCTTTTACCTCGATAAGAATATGGAAAAGTAACTTGATAGGCTTGGTAAGGCTTGATATTGTTATAAGTCAAAAATTAAGAACAGTTTAATTACCAACACGAATCCAGGAAGAGTTAGCAGGGTCAGGAGTAAGAGGAGAGTAATAAAGGGAGAGTACAGAGAGACGAGGACAAAACCCACACTATCAGAGAGAGAGAAAACAAAACTTAATGGCATCAATTAGTGGGATAAAATGTGTGTAGAGTGGAAATAATCTGAGCCTATTGCAGCATAACCTGATCCAGCTCCAGCTATAATCTTCATGATGATGAGAGGTTTGAAGCCCTGATCGTAAAGGTAGTCAGTATAGTGCTGAAGGCTCTGCCGTTTTTTCTTCTGCAAACTCCAGGAACCGGAAGTCAGCCTGCGCTCTGAGAGCCAGGTGCTGGCATGGGATGAAATGGCACTATAAGATCACTACTGGGTCTTCTACAGTCAGAAGTATTGGCACGAAATGAAGTCTGTTATTTAAGTTTTTATAGTTGATACTGCAGCTTCATCACCACACATCCAAACTCAATGAGTTTCTTTTGCAGAGCCTTCATACTTTTACATCAGCTGATCTGAGATCAGTTACAGGTACATACATACATACACAAATTTTATTTTGTTCACACGAGTTTACACTTAATTGGCGTTAAGCCTTTGTAAGCCTACGCAGGTTTTATGTTTTTATCTTTATATATAAAATGAAATGTGCTGTACAAATAAAATTGCCATTACACGCTGTAACAGTTGCTGAATCACTGAAATGCACTTTACACTGAGCATTTTATCACGTTGTCTGATTTCTGCTTATGTGAATCGTGTGTGACTGTATCTACATTTTTATGCAGCAGATGGCAGGGCTGCACTCCTAATGTCACTAACCTCTGCTTCAGTGACAATAAAGCTTAATTCCAATTTTATTCTTGTGAAATCCAGTGTAAGATTTTAAGTAGTCACGATTAATTAAAAATATTCTTTTCCTGTTACACACG